CAGAGCAGGGGGCGGGCAGCTCGGGGGGACGCAGTCTGTCCAGGGCACACAAGTCACGGCCCGTCCAGCTGGACACGAGGCTCGCGCAGCGGTCACTCAGCTGCCCCCAGCAGGACGCCCCAGGTCTTGGGCGTCCATGGGTCGGCCTCCAGCCTCCTGAACAGGAGGAGGCCAGGGCAGCCTCCCAGAGCCAGCAGCTGGTGCCGCCCCAGAGAACAGCAGGAGACTCGGGGACAGAGCAGGCCACCAGTGAGGGCCACCCGGAGGGCACTGCAGGGACGGGGAACTGTCAGGGCTGTGGGTCCCTTACCGTCATCGTCATTAAAACACAGTGGACAGATGGAGGATAGTGTCGTCGTCACGCTGCCCTCTGCTGGCCGCAGGGCTGCACGCCGTTACCCACGGCTCTGGAGGCTGAGGCACAAGGACCGCCAGGTGGAGGCCAGCCTCTGCAACTCACTGCCTCTGAGACAGACAAGAGAGACCGGGGACGTGGCTAGGCACCCCTGGGCTCTGTCCCCACCCCCCAAAAGGAGGGAAGTGGGACATGACCTCAGCGTCACGGGCAGAGGGTCGGCCAGCGCAGGAGGGGGAGAGGGTTGACCCGAGACGTGGGACGCGGTGGGTCCGTGTGGCGCAGCACCTCTCGACACCCCACCGACAGGCACCTGTGTCCTAGGGACCCAGCTGTCCGATGCTCCACAGAGACGGCACTGGACCCTCCTCGTCTTGGGGACTGTCCCACTTTTCGTCTGACCTGTTTCCAAGGTTGCAGTGCCGTAGCCTGAACGGGGGGCTTCGTTCCTTTTTCATGGCCGAGCACTATTCCACCGTGCAGATGGCCACGTTTTGTTTCCATCCCTTGGTGGCCACTGGGCTGCTCCTCCCTCCCTCTGGGCTCCGGGACCCAGGGTGGCCACTCTCCTACGCAGATAGCCTTGGGCCCCTGCTTCTCATTCTTTTCGAGTCTCGTGCTCCGCCATGTGACAATTCTACGGGGAATCTAAGAAGCGGTCACCTTGGCCGGGGTCACGGGCTGGAACCCAGGGACGTCCTCCAC